AGAAAAGGGGCAAAGACCCGTCATCCATCCACCAACCCATCCCGCCTTCCCTCTCTCCCGCCGCCAAATCGTCCGCCTTCTCATACTTGAACATACCCCCCGTTTCCGCCTCCTTCCCCTCGTCGTTACCGACACAGCCAAAGCGGCCCCGTCTTCACTTGTCACCTCACGCGCTGTCGTGCAGGACACCGCGCTCAGAACGTCACCGACAGGACTCACTTTGTCCTCGTCCCGAGGAGTCTTCGTCAAAAGTTGATGGGCGAGCCCCCTCACATTTTGACTCCCAGTCTCTCAGTTACCTCAGTTCGCGTTCGATTTGTCTCTCACTTGCAAAGTTTGAAGGTGGGGGGTTGGCGGATGCTCTGGTGTGGTTTGCTCCTTCTCTTTCTTTTTTGTGTTAAAAAAAATCTCTTGTAGCACATCTAATCTATGGCACTTATATGATATGACCTAATTTCGTTGCAAGTGCCGTGAAATCCTGCGAAAACTAAACTAAAAGTTTGAAGCCTTCAAGCGCCTGCTATCTCAACAAGGTAAAGCACCCGTGGTCTTGGCCTTACACTACTCGGGAAATCCGCTATGCTAACGACGTTGTCTATAAATTATATAGATCTAGATCTTCAACTATATCCTGATCCAGGGTGTGAAAGGCAATGATAATGTTAATATAAATGTACGACTCTCTGTCGGTGATCTCTGGACTAGGCATGGGCAAATGTGTCCACCTCGTAGGTTGACCGGATTAAGCGATTCTTAATATTAATCTAGCGGGGCAAAGCAAGAGAAAACTAGATCTAGATGGAATTGGTTAAAAGTATTCAATCATCCAAGTTCTCCAAAGTGGAACTAAATCTGACACTGAATCATGTCACTCGAGGGGCATTTCATGAAATGAACTCTTAGATATATTGCTTCCTATTGGGGCGAGAACTATTGATTTTAATTTTCAACCCGCACTGTTGTGTGTTTATTAATTGTCAACTCACCTCGGGCTATATATTCATTATTTAATACTGGTTCGACTCTCGGGCCAGACAAAAACGGCCCGTGGTCCGCAGGCCGTAGTTTGCCCATACCTTCTGTGAGACAGTTCTGATATCATCGGTTCATGCTGGCGTTACTTTCACCCTGTGCTCTCGACACGTGAGTGCCGCGGGAGCCCCTCGAAAAGCATGCGTAATACAAACTAACTGGTAATGCAATTAATTATGACGCCCCCTTCTCTCTCACAGACACATTCGCTCGCCCATCTCCCTCCCCCGTTGTGTTCATTATTTGTATCCGTCTCTTTTTGTTTTTGCTATCCCCCACCCCCTTTCTCTCTCTCTCTCTCTCTCT